ACGTCTCTATTTTAAGAACTAATCAAAACAACGTTAAGCAGCTTAAATTTACCAAAGAATCTGTAAAAATTACTTTAAGTGCTGTTTCTATGGAATTCTGTCAATAAAACAACTATCAGCTTGTAGAATAAAAAACTTGAAAAAGCAACGGATATAGAGCCTTAATTATGCAATCAATTACATGAAATTTATATAATAAATAGATTTTCCAAACAGTTAAACAATTATTAAAAAATATTTAATTTAATTGGCTTAAGCCAGTAGTCTGGAATAGGGAATAACTAACTCTTGTCGTTTATTTTGTTATGTATTACATATTTACCCATATCTTATATATATCAACGCTTTTTTGTAAAATGGTGTTACTATTATGATTGAAATAAGTGAATAGAGAAACTAGGTAAACAAAGTGAGTTTTCTGATTTTCTTATGGAAACCAATAACAACAATTATTGAAAAAAATAAATAAAAATTATTTACTGGTTATTTACATTTAAAAGCCTCATCTCAGAACTTTGTATCTGTTACATATTTTGCTATTTTGCTTCTGTACTTTTTATATTAATCCATGTGTTAATTATTTACAATTTTCATATCATAATATTTACTATTCAGTTATGAACAAATAGTTATGCAAGTTACAAGTGCTTGTATTTATTAATTGGCGACGAGGATAAAAAAAAGAAACTACACTTTATTACCTTCAATTTTTTACCTTTTATTATCTAATCACCAATCTAAATTGTTCATATCTTCACTAGTCAACTACAGAATGGAAATTTTACAGAACATTGATTTACTAGTAGATTTGAGGAAAGTACGGGCTATTGTTAAAGGCCATATTACAAGGGCAGACAGACTGTTAGATGATGTATCCACCATACCAACAGAAGTCTTACAAAACAGAATGGATTTATTAGAAAAAAAACTGGAAAAGGTTTGAAGCTGTTCAACTGAAAATAGAATTGAATTCAAAAGAAGAAGATGTTTGATGAGGAAGTAAGATACAGAGTTGACATGGAAGACCGATATTACAAAGTAAAAGATCAGTTACAAATCAGAAAAACACAATTAGAACTAGAGAAAGATCTACAACAAGGTAGTATGACCAACAGAAGTAATCATATGTACCGTTCACTTACTTCAGCTATATCATTCACACCCTTTCAAGATGATGAAACGTTCAAGAACTTTATCAGGCGCTTAGAGATGTTTATGCATTTACATGGACATGGACTGCAACCCAAGGACAAGGTTTACACTCTTCTTCACGCCTTGTCTCCTACCCTACATCAGAAATTGTATGATTTGTGTGCGCCTGAGGACCCACTTGATAAGACCTACTCAGATCTGGTAAAGTTACTATCAGATTATGTTGATCCTCAGCCGAGTACATGGGCACTGCAGCATAGATTTTTATCAAGAGTACAGGACCTATCAGAATCAGTGAAAATATATTCCTCTGAACTCCAAAAATTAACAACAGATTGTGATTTTTCATGTGAGAGTTGTGGGAAAACCATCGCCAACACTTTTACGCATGCGGTTCATCAGAGGAATTAAAGATGCTGATGTAAGAGCGAGGATACTACAGGAAAAAACCACTAAATGATTTCATGATGTTGTTAAATTGGCAACAGCAATGGAACTAGCCAAAGATGAAAGCTCCCTGGTCAAAACTTCAACAGATTTTACAAAAAATACTGTTCACAAGATTGGAAACAAAAAACTGAACTATGTATCCAAGAAATCTCAGCCTTCATCCTTTGACAAACTGAGAGGAAGATGCTACCGTTGCGGTTCAAGGGAACATAGAGCCAACAACTGCAAGTTTGCTTCTGAAACGTGTCACAAATGCAAAAAACAGGGTCACATTGCCAATGTCTGTATGCAAGCAAAGGAAACCAAAGTTCATCAGACTGAAAAAGATGGAAACGATAATTTTCAAGAAGAAACTCATGAAATTTACAAATTGAACAATAGCAGTAGTGATAAAATACTTATTGATGTTTTGCTAGAGGGAAATCCAGTTCAGATGGAGCTGGATACAGGTTCAGCTATTAGCGCCTTACCGTATAATATGTTCAAGAAACTTAATACGAACAAAAGACTTTTTAATACACAGCTACGACTTAAAACCTGTACAGGCGAATTATTCAAGCCCAAAGGCGTAGTGTTTGTTCAATGTTCATACAAAAACCAGAGTTTTATGGGTAAACTCTATATTGTAGACGGTCACTTGGATCCTATTTTCGGTCGAGACTGGCTACGGGAAGTAGAGTTGGACTGGAAAGAAATAAAAGCAATCAAACAAGAAACAGGAGGACGTTTAGATGAACTTCTAAACAAATACATGGATGTTTTCGAGCCAGATATAGGCCAAATACCTGATCAACTTGGCCACTTACAACTGGTACCTGAAGCTCGACCAATATTTATGAAAGCAAGGCCAATACCTTATTCCTTGAAACAAAAGGTAGAAACTGAACTAGAGCGCTTAGAAACTGCAGGAATATTAACACAGACGGACAATTTCGAATGGGGAACACCCATAGTACCAGTAATGAAACCCTATGGTGAAATTAGAATATGTGCCGATTATAAGGTTACGGTGAACAGACAAATTCAAGACGAACACTATCCGATACCAAGAATTGAAGATATCTTCGCAAATATGAGCGGTGGCAAAACTTTCTGTACTCTGGACTTAAAGAGGGCTTACTTACACCTACAAATGGATGAAGCAAGTGCTGACATCCAAACCTTAAGTACACATAAGGGACAATTCAGAGTTAATCGACTCATGTTTGGCGTTGAAGTAGCTCCTGGAATTTGGCAAAGAATCATGGACAAGGTCTTATCAGGTATAGAAGGCACTCAATGCTTCTTCGATGACATAATCATCTAAGGAAAATCAGAAGAAGAGTTGCTCACTCGGTTGGAAATGGTACTTCAAAGAATAAAAATGAACTAAGGTTGAACAGAGATGAATGCAAGTTTCTACACAAACAAATTGAGTACTTAGGTCACACTATAGATGCCCATGGAATCCACAAATCAGAAGATAAAGTTAAGGCTATCAGACAAGCAAGAAGACCCCAGAATGTTAGTGAACTGCGAACCTTCTTAGGTCTTGTCAACTATTATAACAGAGTTATCGAGGACCTGGCAACGATTCTCAATCCGTTACATGGACTACTGAAAAAGGAGAAGAAATACAAGTGGACAGATCAATGTGAACAAAGATTTCAGAAAGTCAAGGAGATCATTACAAATGAAATTGTCCTTACTCATTTTGATCCAGTCTTACCTTTGGTATTGGCAACAGACGCATCTCCGGTGGGACTTGGTGCAGTACTGTCACATAGATTTCCAGATGGAAGTGAAAGACCCATAGCCTTCGCTTCAAGAACACTGACAAAACCGGAAGAGAAATATAGCCAAATTGACAAAGAGGCCACTGGAATTTATTGGGGACTAAAAAAGTTCTTCCAATATTGCTATGGACGTAAATTCGTCCTAGTAACGGATCACAAGCCATTAGTTACAATATTCAATCCTGATAAAAACCTACCTTCTATGTCAGCTACACGACTTTTTAACTATTCACACTTCTTATCAGGTTTTGACTACAAAATAGAGTTTAGACGAACAAATGATCATGGAAATGCGGACTTCCTTTCAAGATTCCCTATTGAAAAACATTCAAATACCAGCATGGACCAGACTGATGTTTTCTATATGTACCAAATTGCAACGATCAACCTAAACCATAACCTAATTGCTCAAGAAACGAAAAAGGATGAAAACATGCAACACTTGCTACTAGCTTTGGAAACTGGAAAATCGCTGGAGCACCATGGTTATCATGACGGTGAGCTATGTCTACATGATGGTTGTATCATGAAAGGTTGGAGAGTGATGATTCCTAGATCTTTACAAAAACATGTCCTCGAAGAACTACATTTTGGTCATCTGGGAAAGGTAAAAACCAAAGACATAGCACGAAGCTTTTGCTACTGGAAAGGTTTGGACAAAGATATAGAAGATAATATTTCAAAATGCAGACAGTGCAGGGAAAAACAAAATTTACCGAAGAAAGAAATTAACCATCCCTGGGAGCCAGCAAGTGAACCATGGGAGCGGGTCCACATAGATTTCGCTGGGCCAACCAACGGAAATTACTTTCTGTTGGTAGTAGACGCATTCAGCAAGTGGGTTGAAGTCATACCTACGAAGAGTATTACATCTTCATGGACAATCAGAGAGCTGCGTAAAATATTCACCACCTTTGGAGTACCAAGTGTTATAGTCTCTGATAATGGTCGTCAGTTCAACTTCTCTGAATTTAGTAACTTTTTTAAGAAATGTGGAACTTTGCACAAAATGACAGCTCCTTACCATCCTTCTTCGAACGGCCAAGTCGAAGGCTTCGTACAAACGATAAAGAAACTTATCAACTGCATGTCAGACGAGCCTGGTACACTGGAAGAAAAGCTTCTCCAACTGCTGATGAAACTACGTCAAGCTCCGAATTCAACTGGAAACAGGTCATACTTCTTGATGTTCAACAGAAGGATCCGCACGTACTTAAGTTTACTCTTACCTAAGACAGAGAAAGAAACAAAACCACCCAAAGGAATAGTGAGATACTTCAAACCAGGTGAACGAGTACAAGTACGGAACTATTCCGGGAAATGTAAATGGGGTTAAGGAAATGTCCAAAGTAGAGACGGTCACATTCACTATTTTATCAAGATGGACGATGGACAAATTTGGAGACGCCACATTGATCAAATGTTGCGTACGAAAGTTTGAGGGGAGACCATTGTTAAGGGGAGACCACTGTTACATATTTTGCTATTTTGCTTCTGTACTTTTTATATTAATCCATGTGTTAATTATTTACAATTTTCATATCATAATATTTACAGTCTGACCTTAATACATAGGGAGCCTAGACAAGGCCAATTAAATAATAATTTATAAAGTCAACTTACTTGTTGCTGGTTCTGGGGCGCTCGTACAACCTAAAATAATGTCGAAATTAAATTTAGTTCTACTGTTTTCTATTCAGTTATGAATAAATAGTTATGCAAGTTACAAATGCTTGTATTTATTAGTATCTCCTCAGCGTTTAGCATTAGGGATATTTAGAGAAGAGAATAGGCCTGTGACATTCCTAGGTATTATATTTATACATAATATTTATGCTAAATTTCAACTATATTGGTAAAGTATTTTAGTAGTGGCAACCGGAGAGACAAACAGACAAACACCGCCTTATAGTTATAATATTATAGATTACTCATATTGTATTTTGAGAAATAGTTTTTTTATTAACATTTTAGATTTTCTAGCATATTTCCATTTCACTGCCCTTGCAATTTCAACTTTTTTTATCTCTGTTTGGTATCATTTTAGTTTTAATTCCCTTCAGTTCAAAGTCAATGCAGACATGAATAATTTGTGGTAATTTATAACTCTCCTAAGGGGTCTTACGTTTGACGATGACGTGGTCTATAAGAGTGGTCGACTCGGTGGTGACCCTGGTTGGCTTTCATCAGTTGGGCATTTGAAGGAAAGCCAGGAATATTTTTGGTATTCGATGAAGTGTGCATTTTACCTGATAGGCCTACCATTAAACTGGGGAATAAATCAAGATCCAATAAGGAAAGTGGATATTCTCTTGGTCTGCAGGTTTTCTACGGGGATGTGCCTTCCATAAACGAAAACTGGTTTTTTTATTGTATTTTATGAGTTTTTAAAGTTACAGTCTGACCTTAATACATAGGGAGCCTAGACAAGGCCAATTAAATAATAATTTATAAAGTCAACTTACTTGTTGCTGGTTCTGGGGCGCTCGTACAACCTAAAATAATGTCGAAATTAAATTTAGTTCTACTGTTTATTTTTCTATCCACACACACAAGCGTTTTCTTCTAAATATTGATCTACTATTCAATATCTTTTCTGCACAAAAATGACTATCAAACTAAGTAGGACTGTGTACAACTACTACAAAACCCATTTTGCCTTATAGGCCTACTGAAAGTTCTTTTTTTATATAACAATAATGCAATTTTTTTTTGCTGCACAGAATTTATCCTACCTATAATTAAATAGGCTTAATTAAAAGGCCTAAGTACGTTAGAGGCCGAGTACAAAAATAAATTCATAATTTTGTTCTCAATTATATACATTAATTACAACACAAATTCAAATATGTTTTATTGTAATAAATGCTTTTCTTTATAATCAATTTAGTACGTCATTTGTTAGGTTTATCATATATTTAAAAGTCCGTAGTCTCAAGTTATCTTTAAAGTTTTGGGTGTTTTTCTTTTAATGATTACGAAGAGACAATTTTCTTGTTCACCATATTTAGGAGATCATGATGATACAGTTTCTTAACATAAGACATAATTTGTGTCTCTTTGTATGTTAGAGAAGATGAAGAAATGTATAGAATTTTATTTTCTTATGTTACAGACTGTACTGTACTGTTTTGTTGTTGTTTTATTTAAATGTTTTGTTTATTATTTATTTAGATTTTAACTGTATGAAAGGACCATTATGTGCTAATTTAACCATAATAAAGAAGGATTTTAATTTTAATTTTAACTATACAGATATCGTTTTATGATACATTACATCCAGGGTGGAAAAAAGTCCCGGGAGAGTTACAGTATATAATTTAAAAAAAATTTTCAAGATGGAGCTACAAAACGTGGTACACAGTAATTGGTCGTTAAAATCATTTTTACACGTCATTATTCTATAATACGCCACCCCATAAGGGAGACGGTCTACTAGGAGTCAGAAAATCATCATTTAGCTAACCATAAAACCGTGTTTAAAAAGTCTTTTAAATTAATTTTCTACAGTAAACTAAAACTGTAATTACCTATCCCTAATCCACACGCCAATCACTGGAACAATTTTCAAGATACCGATGACACTATAAAGCACTGAAAGAACACCCTTATAACATTTTAAATTTCTTATTCTTAGGCAAATACTTAAATAAATAACAAAATTGAGCTTAGTTTTATTAATAAGTTCCGTTTATTCTCACTTATTCGTAATAAGTATGGTAAATACCTGTACAGAACACCTTCCACCGCTACAAGGGGGTACCATATCCTCAAGTCGACCCTTTCTATTCGAAACTATCACGCCTGGCATCCCGAGTAGATCATCACTGGTAAGGGTGCCATCTTCAAGAGGTGCAGAGACCAAACCTATCCAGCAGATCAATGTTGCGAGTGCCAAAGTAGGCCTGACTTCCATAGTGTTTTGTCTGAAAATAATTAATTGGAATTGTAACAAATATTTCTTAGGTGTAAACTATAGTGATAGGCGTTGTTTTTTTTAATACTCAATTTAATCCCACGGATAATTTTTACTATAACTTGCGAAACTGAATCATTCTGAAAGCCAAATTCCACATAAATAAACATATTACAAATATAATTTATTAAATTTCCTTTTTTATCTAACTTAGAACCCACGGTTATATCAGATATAATTCTGTGTATATATTATATAGATTCTGTATATATATTATATAGATTCTGTATATATATTATATAGATTCTGTATATTATGCAAGGACGACCAAACAGACAACAAATTACGTCAACCTATAAAGCAAAAGTTATTACCCCGCTAAAACAATAATTTTCCAATTATGAATTTTAAAGTATTTCAAATACGAATTTTTATTGGTAAAGGTATAGGACGTAATTTTATAAGGTAATTTTTGCAACTTTATTGTATTCCCGACAGTTCCTGCCTGCCAGTGACTAGCGGTGGCTATAGTTTAATTTGAAATTACGACCGTCCCGTTTACCTAGTAAATAGCTACGTCTAAATTATTTCTCGTTTTTTCGCCGTTTAAATACCCCGAGACTTGTCACCTGAGCTCTAAACTTCGTCGTTGCGGGTGATCTTAGGAGCATCCCGATTCGAATTCACCTTTAGCCTATACTTTTAACTGAAATGGCGACAAAGTTTGATCTATTGACGTACGTAATACACCTTACAATACTTAACCAGAGCCTTTAGTCAGATAATTTAAAGTATAACACGAGTTGTTTATCGAATTTACAAGAAAAAAACATTCGTCTGACCTACAGAGTCGTTCTAAAAGTTAGGCAACATTTTGAAGACACTTACACGAAGAGGAAGAGGATAAACAAGAATGACCTGATCGTCTGAACACTTCTAGATCTCTGAACCTTCGGATAGTTAAAATAATGAATCTCTCAAAACCGTGAGCAGCTTCGTCCCCTGGATTTTTCTACTCCTTTTGAACACTCCAGGGAAGATATTCGAGTGGAGGCAATTCTAAGAAGGCCTATCCTGCCTTTGTGAGTACAATTTTATCCCCCCCCCCCTTAAAGTTTTACGTCACAAAGGAGGTAATGACATTCTAGTGGACTCCACCAACAGAAGGAAATCATTTATAAAGCAAATTTTTACAGTTAGTTAAACAATATAGAAATTTATGTCTAGTGAATTATTTAGCTTGAACAAAGAGTAGGCCTAATATGATATAAAATATAGTCTAACGATGTTGATTAGAATGTTGTAGTCCTTTTAAATGTTAAAATTCGTCTAGCCATTCGTCCACCCATGCCGTAAAAATTACCTATTTCTGTGATTTTATCAATAACATATGATGGTTATTCCCATATCTTACTCATTATTGTTTTTGACAAGCTATTGGGAGAAAGTATGTGTCAGTTTGCCGATCCTTTTTATTTCTTGTTGTACTATATTAGATGGTAGGTTAGCTTGTTGATTAAGATAACTATAATAATCTTTTTACATTTACGTAGTTATTTGTTAGCAGCTAAACTATACAAAACGGTAGCCTATTTACCGTTTATCACACTATCAATAAGTTCCACATTGGTTTAGGGGTTCTTTTAGGCTTTAAAATTGGTTCACATTATTCTTATGTATTTTACTTATAAGAATCCATGGAATCAATGAAATGAGATAAACCAAATTCTTTTACAACCATACGGCCAACTAGTTTTCCTAAATAACAAATACATGTACACCTTAAAAATCAAAACTAATAATTTGATTAATTTTAGGTCAATATTTTTATATTAATGTACAATCAATTTACTGGACACCATTAAATAAAATCAAAGCAAATTAGTTGAACAGTAGATCGGCTTTGTTAATGTAAAGTCAATTTACTGGGCACTATCATACATAACAAAATCAATGCAAATTATTTAAATAATACATTGTAAATGTAAAATAAATTGATTGGAAGTAGTGACAATATGGCAAAGAGTCCTCACTTTAGGCACGTTTTCCCCATAAGAATAACATGGGGATCATTTTTTGGCCACCAATTCTAAAAATCCTGATCTCGACCTATATCCCCTATATAAATGTTCAATACCATTGTACAACTTCATTACTATTTCAAATCCACATGCATTCACATGTATATTCTCAAAATCATCAACTTGACAGTGTGAGGTTTGTACGCGAACTCGGGCGCGCTCCCGGCTCATGGCGCGCTCCCTTGGACATCCTTAGTGGAAATCCATGAATTCTGGCTACTTGGGAACCCAAGCCATTTGACATATAATAAATCACCTTTTCTCCTAATAACCTTTTCTATCAAATACATGTCTTTATATTTGGTCTTTAACAATTCCTCTGTATTGAAGCCTCCCCTGATTATATTCCCATTTTCATCTTTCAAGATATAAGTCACAGGCTTTGTATTCTTAACTTCTGCTATTGTAAATAGCTCCCCTGTCCAATTTGGAGTATAACCTTTACTAAACACATGTTTATACTTGGAAATTCTCACGCTATCACCTACCTTATATCTTGGCTTTTTAACTTGCACTACTTTAGAAGTCAACCTCTCATGCACATATTTACTATTCTTAATACTCACTTGGTTAGGCTTCATTCCTATAGATCTGTGTACCTTATTATTATATTTTCGAATTAACTTTGGAAGTAAATCCAACCATTTATAACTTCCCTGAGCACTAAATTCCCTATATAACCAATTCTTTAAAGTTCTCTGAAACCTCTCCACAATTGCAGCCTTAGTTGTAGAAAAAGTGTGGTAATGATATATATTTAGTTTTGCTGAAATATTAATTAAAAAATTATTTTCCATTGTCAGATTGAATGTTTCTAACCCTCTTGGTAGAATGGTTTTAATGGCTTCTGTAACTACTAACCCTGTCTTATTCTTTAGTGGAGCAGCATAAGCTTTTTTAGAAAATGTATCTATTAAAGTTAAGATATATTTAATGCTGGACTTTTAACCATTTTGCCAAATCTCAAATAGTTTTCAAGATATAAGTATTTAAAATAATATTATGTACTTAGAACATTTTGAGATGTTTAAAATGTCAAGAGTCAAGACTTTGAAAATTTTCGTGATAACTGTAATTGCGCCCATATAAAATAATGTTTAATTTTTTTTGGATTTTTTGAAATTTTTATGTTGTAATATTGTTTAAAATAAAAAGTTGACACCCACTATGTGTGCCAGAATTTCAACCATTTTGCCGTATCTCATGCCGTTTTCGAGATATAAGCGTTTTAACAGTTTTACGGACTTAGAAAATTTCGAGGTGTGCAAAAATGTCAAAAAGTCTAGATTTTGAAGATTTTTCATGGTAAATTTTATTTGTACCCATATAAAATAATGTTAAATTTTTTTGGAATTTTAGATTTTTTTATGTTGTATTATTGTTTATAATCAAAAGTTGACACCCACTATGTGTGCCAGAATTTCAACAGTTTTGTCGTATCTCAAGCAGTTTTCAAGATACAAGCATTTTAAAACTATATAATGGACTTAAACAATTTTAGGTGTGCAAAAATGTTAAAAACACAATGAATAAGAAAGTACTATCTTTTGATGATAACAAAGGCTTATTCTGGAAGATGACATCAGTACTCTTGCTCTTAGTCATTATAAAATAGATCAAACATAAATCTATATTTGTCATTATTATTTAGCCTTTCCATTTCTATTATGAAAAAACCATATTTAGTTTTATTCCAACTTTAGAGGAAGAGATCACTAAATTGGTTAAATGAAACGTCATTGCCAACATGATTGTCATACACATGTTTTAAAACTTAAATCGTCTTGTCTGGATAATATTAGGAAATTTACACTATCACGTAAATGTTTGTGTACTTTGCTGCAAGATTAACACAAGTAAAAGCAGTCAATAATTTTATGTCGACCTTTTGACAAAAATGGTGTAATATTTGGACTATTCATGTTATCAAACACAACAATTGACTGCGGCCTGTGACTGTGATGTGAATTTTTGTGTACTTGTTTACTTCATCACACAAATTTCACATTTTTTTCACAAATGTTACATGAATTGTGAATGTGACTGTGATGTGAATTTACGTGTATTTCGTCACACACATTTCACACAATTTTTATAAATTTCACACACATTTCACACAATTTAACACAAATTTTTATAATGTGTGTCAAATTGTGTGAAATTTGTGTGAAATTTATAAAAATTGTGTGAAATGTGTGTGACGAAATACACGTAAATTCACATCACAGTCACATTCACAATTCATGTAACATTTGTGAAAAAAATGTGAAATTTGTGTGATGAAGTAAACAAGTACACAAAAATTCACATCACAGTCACAGGCCGCAGTCAATTGTTGTGTTTGATAACATGAATAGTCCAAATATTACACCATTTTTGTCAAAAGGTCGACATAAAATTATTGACTGCTTTTACTTGTGTTAATCTTGCAGCAAAGTACACAAACATTTACGTGATAGTGTAAATTTCCTAATATTATCCAGACAAGACGATTTAAGTTTTAAAACATGTGTATGACAATCATGTTGGCAATGACGTTTCATTTAACCAATTTAGTGATCTCTTCCTCTAAAGTTGGAATAAAACTAAATATGGTTTTTTCATAATAGAAATGGAAAGGCTAAATAATAATGACAAATATAGATTTATGTTTGATCTATTTTATAATGACTAAGAGCAAGAGTACTGATGTCATCTTCCAGAATAAGCCTTTGTTATCATCAAAAGATAGTACTTTCTTATTCATTGTGTTTTTAACATTTTTGCACACCTAAAATTGTTTAAGTCCATTATATAGTTTTAAAATGCTTGTATCTTGAAAACTGCTTGAGATACGACAAAACTGTTGAAATTCTGGCACACATAGTGGGTGTCAACTTTTGATTATAAACAATAATACAACATAAAAAAATCTAAAATTCCAAAAAAATTTAACATTATTTTATATGGGTACAAATAAAATTTACCATGAAAAATCTTCAAAATCTAGACTTTTTGACATTTTTGCACACCTCGAAATTTTCTAAGTCCGTAAAACTGTTAAAACGCTTATATCTCGAAAACGGCATGAGATACGGCAAAATGGTTGAAATTCTGGCACACATAGTGGGTGTCAACTTTTTATTTTAAACAATATTACAACATAAAAATTTCAAAAAATCCAAAAAAAATTAAACATTATTTTATATGGGCGCAATTACAGTTATCACGAAAATTTTCAAAGTCTTGACTCTTGACATTTTAAACATCTCAAAATGTTCTAAGTACATAATATTATTTTAAATACTTATATCTTGAAAACTATTTGAGATTTGGCAAAATGGTTAAAAGTCCAGCATTAAATATATCTTAACTTTAATAGATACATTTTCTAAAAAAGCTTATGCTGCTCCACTAAAGAATAAGACAGGGTTAGTAGTTACAGAAGCCATTAAAACCATTCTACCAAGGGGGTTAGAAACATTCAATCTGACAATGGAAAATAATTTTTTAATTAATATTTCAGCAAAACTAAATATATATCATTACCACACTTTTTCTACAACTAAGGCTGCAATTGTGGAGAGGTTTCAGAGAACTTTAAAGAATTGGTTATATAGGGAATTTAGTGCTCAGGGAAGTTATAAATGGTTGGATTTACTTCCAAAGTTAATTCGAAAATATAATAATAAGGTACACAGATCTATAGGAATGAAGCCTAACCAAGTGAGTATTAAGAATAGTAAATATGTGCATGAGAGGTTGACTTCTAAAGTAGTGCAAGTTAAAAAGCCAAGATATAAGGTAGGTGATAGCGTGAGAATTTCCAAGTATAAACATGTGTTTAGTAAAGGTTATACTCCAAATTGGACAGGGGAGCTATTTACAATAGCAGAAGTTAAGAATACAAAGCCTGTGACTTATATCTTGAAAGATGAAAATGGGAATATAATCAGGGGAGGCTTCAATACAGAGGAATTGTTAAAGACCAAATATAAAGACATGTATTTGATAGAAAAGGTTATTAGGAGAAAAGGTGATTTATTATATGTCAAATGGCTTGGGTTCCCAAGTAGCCAGAATTCATGGATTTCCACTAAGGATGTCCAAGGGAGCGCGCCATGAGCCGGGAGCGCGCCCGAGTTCGCGTACAAACCTCACACTGTCAAGTTGATGATTTTGAGAATATACATGTGAATGCATGTGGATTTGAAATAGTAATGAAGTTGTACAATGGTATTGAACATTTATATAGGGGATATAGGTCGAGATCAGGATTTTTAGAATTGGTGGCCAAAAAATGATCCCCATGTTATTCTTATGGGGAAAACGTGCCTAAAGTGAGGACTCTTTGCCATATTGTCACTACTATTGGACACAATCATACATAGCTAATGATTTGAATTATAGGTCGAATTTTTTGTAGAAAATATATAATATACACTGTCACACATATTACAATCAAAGCAAATGATTTGAATAATAATATGTTGATATTAATTTTTACAACATATGATTTACGATTTTTTAAATATGTCCGGCCTGTTATCTTACTCCATGTTCACCTACATCTGATCATTTCTGTGTATTCAAATAAAATAACTGACCGATTAAATCGTAAAAATATAATTTAAATAGTCATAGAACTTGTTCAGCCTACAATTAGTTAGACTGGATAATTCAATTGCCGTCCCATAATATTTAACACCTATTTAAAACCAGAGTGAAGTCCCGAGAATAATATAGTTACAACTCAAAAGAATATGTATTCCTATAGTTATATAAAATAAAATAAATTGTAATTGAAAATCTGTATGTAATTGACATAGTACATATCTAATCAAATTCTACGTTAAAACTGTTATTTTTAATAACTAACCTGTTGTGCAAGTTGCTCAGCCAAGTTTCAACGCTGAAGTAACGGTTGTATTCGGCAAAAACAAGTTGACGATACAAGATGGTTAACACTTGCTGTTACCGAGCAATTTACTCAATTACGATGTCACTTTGACAAATGTATGTGTTGCCAAAAAATGTGTTGAGCATTGGTAAACACGTGAAAAAATTGTTGGTTCGAACATTCTTTCTAGAGAGTATTTGATATTGATAACATTTATACTTTAGATTCACTAAAGAATCGGACAGTTTTTAAGGAGAGAATGCAATTAAATACGCTTGACGCCATGACAACCATCATTTATATCAAGGACACTGAATAGGCTAGAACTTGAAATTTATTAAAAGCTTTCAGAACAAACGTTGATTGCCTTTTACATTGTACAACCAATCTTATTATTTTTTATCTTATTACTTACTAATTTATGAGTCAATTTCATTGTCCTACAGTTACCTGACAATGTGGGCTTTCTTGCACTGATTATAGCACTCCATGTAGCTAATTTTTGCATTTACTTACTTTTGCCACACTAATTTGTTTTTGGCGCACTCCAGTATTGCAACCAAACAACACAAAACAATGTGCTTTTATTAAGCACGACATACGTGCACGCTTGAAAATAGGTTGTCAACATTTAAAGATACTACGACTACCATCAGCTGGTGCAGTGTTTCTCATTTCGTTCAACGCTTCGAATTAACCTAACCTAAAAACGTATTGTACAGTGTTTGAAAGACTAATTATTTCTAGGTTTTATAGTAACTGTGAGAAAACATATAACGTGTAACATGAGCGCAAATTGTCTTTGCTGCATTCGAGAAACTATCCACACTCGCCTGCGGCTCCTGCGTAAAAAGAGGTTTACATAATATATCATAGAATGCATAGTATATAGTAAAGGGAGCATACATACATAACAGTAACATCAGAAGATGGTTTCCGTGTCCTTAATTTCCTAAACTAACCAAAATAAAGGTGTCGATGCCGATGAAAAGGAATATGGTATTTTGCTTCAACTGGAAAACGGAACCCTTACCAGTGTCAAAGTATTTACAAATCAGTTGATGATTATTCTTTTAACAGTATGTAACAATATTTTTACAGTAAACAGTATCTAAACACAAACAATTTCATTTGTTGTTTTAGCGAATTTAAAATTATGGAAGGAATGCAATTATTTATTGAAAATTAATAACAAAACCAAGGCAAACAAAGAGAAGGTTTCACTCAAAGGATATGGTGTACAAATATATCTATCTTGCCACATTGATTAATAAATTCTTAGTTTGTTTTAATATTACAATTATTTGTTTTGCATTTGAGATTTTTAGGGACTTTTGTTCCCCTAGTTGCCCTAGTATCATTTAATAAACAAAAAGCATTGTTGTAACATTGTTAAAAGTTTGCTGGGAAACTTTTTTTGAAACAAGTTTAGATAAATTTACCTATGGCTGACTAGCTCACCAACTTGCTTCATTTCATGTTACCTGATGTTTGAATTTGTCAAAGTGACAGATAAATTAAGTCTATGACGCACGACAAGTGGTATCTATCAATATACGCAGCAAGTAAAAAACAGCTAATACTGCTCCTTGAACACTTCTATATCATTGGTTCGCCTTTTAAATTTACAATCATAATTTTCGACAACACAGCTTTTAAGTAAAAATATTTACAAGCAACAGTGCCATTTCGGAATGTGTTGCTAATTTACGAGTCCAAATGTATTGCATATTTTTCTTTTTTTTTTGTTTCTTTAATATGCTTAGTCATAATAACCTTTGATGATCTAAAATAGATCATTTTGTGTATTACAGTTACCTGGATCTCAGACAAAAACACTTATGCTATTACAGCCAAATATTGTGGTCAAACATTATTCAGGTATTATTATTGTAATGAAAAATGTGAAATGGGTTTTGATTACTGTTATTAGTCTCCAATAGGTTTCAAGTGAAACTAGACATCTTTTTTAACTCTGGTATCGGAAGGCGTTCTGTCATTCTCCTCTGAAATCACAACCATACAAGAAGTTTTTAAGATGCAGTATAGTGTTAAGCCATTTCCATCGTGTAGTGCTAAGTGATAAAGAAGAATCGCCCACAATCTAATTCATTTAAGTTTGCGAACCAATCCCCAGATACCTAGGACTGAATAGAGTATCCTAAAAAATCACACCTATTGTGTACGCTCTAGCTGACCTTCAATGTTTATGCATTAGTAAATGTTTTAGTGCTCACATAAAGTAATACTATCAATAGAAGACAGTTTGAGAAATTTTCTTGAAAAAGGGGAGTGTTTTTGACATTTAATTCTCAAGTTTTCTACTATTTGAAATTTTGTTGGACGGATCACGTGAAAGACAGATGTTAACTTGCTAATGTGTGCACATGCAGTGGTGACGATTAACTATTGCATTCCGATTGATGAATTTTGTTAATGTTTGCTGTGCCTCCTACATCTTTGGATTTAATTCTGAATTACCAATTGAAGTAGTGGACCTGTAAATACTATCCCCGAGCTACAATATCAAGATGCTCCTGAAAACAAGCAAACCCCCTCCACCCTGAGCTAGGCCGATACAATTAGGCAGGGGTGGCAATACGTGCAAGCGAATCCCTTCCACCCTGAGTTAGGCCAATACAATTAGGCAGGGGTGGCAATACGTGCAGGCGAATCCCTTCCACCCTGAGTTAGGCCAATACAATTAGGCAGGGGTGGCAATACGTGCAAGCGAACCCCTTCCACCCTGAGTTAGGCCAATACAATTAGGCAGGGGTGGCAATACGTGCAAGCGAATCCCTTCCACCCTGAGTTAGGCCGATACAATTAGGCAGGGGTGGCAATACGTGCAAGCGAATCCCTTCCACCCTGAGTTAGGCCAATACAATTAGGCAGGGGTGGCAATACGTGCAACCGAATCCCTTCCACCCTGAGTTAGGCCAATACAATTAGGCAGGGGTGGCAATACGTGCAAACAAACCCCTTCCACCCTGAGTTAGGCCAATACAATTAGGCAGGGGTGGCAATACGTGCAAGCAAACCCCTACCACCCTGAGCTAGGCCAATACAATTAGGCAGGGGTGGCAATACGTGCAAGCAAACCCTCTCCACCCTGAGTTAGGCCAATACAATTAGGCAGGGGTGGCAATACGTGCAAGCAAACCCTCTCCACCCTGAGCTAGGCCAATACAATTAGGCAGGGGTGGCAATACGTGCAAGCAAACCCCTTCCACCCTGAGCTAGGCCAATACAATTAGGCAGGGGTGGCAATACGTGCAAGCGAACCCCTTCCACCCTGAGTTAGGCCAATACAATTAGGCAGGGGTGGCAATACGTGCAAGCAAACCCCTTCCACCCTGAGTTAGGCCAATACAATTAGGCAGGGGCTGCAATACGTGCAAGCAAACCCTCTCCACCCTGAGTTAGGCCAATACAATTAGGCAGGGGTGGCAATACGTGCAAGCAAACCCCTTCCACCCTGAGCTAGGCCAATACAATTAGGCAGGGGTGGCAATACGTGCAAGCAAACCCCTTCCACCCTGAGTTAGGCCAATACAATTAGGCAGGGGTGGCAATACGTGCAAGCAAACCCTCTCCACCCTGAGTTAGGCCAATACAATTAGGCAGGGGTGGCAATACGTGCAAGCAAACCCTCTCCACCCTGAGCTAGGCCAATACAATTAGGCAGGGGTGGCAATACGTGCAAGCAAACCCCTTCCACCCTGAGCTAGGCCAATACAATTAGGCAGGGGTGGCAATACGTGCAAGCAAACCCTCTCCACCCTGAGCTAGGCCAATACAATTAGGCAGGGGTGGCAATACGTGCAAGCAAACCCCTTCCACCCTGAGCTAGGCCAATACAATTAGGCAGGGGTGGCAATACGTGCAAGCGAACCCCTTCCACCCTGAGTTAGGCCAATACAATTAGGCAGGGGTGGCAATACGTGCAAGCAAACCCCTTCCACCCTGAGTTAGGCCAATACAATTAGGCAGGGGCTGCAATATGTGCAAGCAAACCCTCTCCACCCTGAGTTAGACCAATACAATTAGGCAGGGGTGGCAATACGTGCAAGCAAACCCCTTCCACCCTGAGCTAGGCCAATACAATTAGGCAGGGGTGGCATTACGTGCAAGCGAACCCCTTCCACCCTGAGTTAGGCAAATACAATTAGGCAGGGGTGGCAATACGTGCAAGCAAACCTCTTCCACCCTGAGCTAGGCCAATACAATTAGGCAGGGCGCTACACACAATACATTTGTGCTACTTAAATCACTTTCTAGGTAGCCTAATAAATTCTCACTGCATAAACTCCATATAAATACTACTCGTTTGTAAATGATTATAAGTTATTTTATACGTGCCTCAGTGCCATATATATATCTTCCTACAAACCGTTGTAGGTGGCTTAATACGTTTTCTCCACTCGCGTGAGTTGACTAAACCTACTTTAAAAAAGTCGGTTCATACGAATTTCTTATCAATATCTAGGACGTATTTATCACCTTTTCAAACGGTAGATTTAAATAAGCAATTAAATCTTTCACGAAGCCTCCTCGATGGAAATTATTGTATTGCAGCTAGCAATACAATACACTTTAGGTAAAAAACGCATTAAAAACTCATAAACAAATTGGCTTTTTGTATGAAAAAGATAATGACAATAATAATTTTGTAGGTAAAGATGTATTTTGTATTAGTGACCTGTGCCCATTCTGAAACATGAGTTAAGGGAGCTAAAATTATTACTATGATTAATGCACACATTTATAAAAATGTAATGATAATTTAGAATTCAAACTGTAACTATACGAGACAAATATTTATTTGTGCATAATACATAAGTAGGCCCTACTACAACATTGTTTCTGACAGTCTTACAAATAAAAAGGTGCATACAATTTGTAATAAGACGATCGAAAATAAAACATATAGGACAGGAGAATCGGACTCAAAATCATATCGTTCTAAGTAAACTGAACCCGTTTTAAACACGCAGGTATTTTCCTCAGAAAGATTGAAAGTCAAATAGTCTCTTTCAAGTAAGTTCCAGTAGTAATGTTTAAATATTTACCAGCAATCAGGAAAGTGCAACG